TTATATATTAGGTTCGTTTTAGAAAGCAACTATATCTACATACAAGTAGATGTTTTTTTTTTTTTTTGGTTGCACTGTTTGGGCATTAGTATACAATGGTAATGGTAAAATATGAAAAATTCTTAAATTCTTTGTTTGGTAATACACGCATATGATGTATGATGCCATGATACTCAAAGGCAATTTGGAGGTGATTCGGTTCTTTAGATCGGAAATATAAGACGATGTTGGTTATTAATTGAAGCCTTGTTATATGATATTTGTATTGTTTGATTAGTTCAAAAGCTAGAGATATATAAGTTATATATCTCTAGCTAGAGATGCCTAGAATTTCTCTTTATTTAATTATTAATTTATTTTTATTTATTTTATTTTTTTAGTATTTTTACTTAATATGTTTTTAAGTTAAGCTACTTATATTTATATTACTAATTTTATTTTTTATCTACTATTTCAGTTTAAGATACATATTATATAACCTACTAGTTTCAGAAAAATTTTTAAATTTTTGAATATAGAGATATATTATAAAATATAACTAGTCAAATATGCTAATATATAATTTAAAATCTTTGAAATTTTACTTGATTATTACAAAAATCTTTCATAGAATAACACTTTTTATACAAAGTGCTATAATCTACACAGATTTAGAATAGCCTCTAGTATCTTAATTATTGGTCAGAAATATATTAGAATTAAATTTTAATTAGCAGACTAGTTAAACAAAATAAGAAATATATAGTTTATTATGTTAAAAAAAAAATTAATTAGCAAAAAATATTTTAATACTCTAGTTTTTGAATTACCTTTTCTTGGTATTGGTTTCAAATTATAACATTTAAGCATTACTACAATTATTAGTGAATTAAGTAAGTTTGATTACTTTTATTTGTTTATTAATTTTTTTCTAAATTATAAAAATAACTAAATTTATATTATAATACTTGTATACTATTTTGATCAATAGAAAATTACAATTTTTTTTTTTTTTTTGTAAATTCGGCAATTTTGCCTCAACTTTATTAGGCTAAAATATTTAACTCACAGGTAAAATATCATTTTTGCTAAAGTAAACTAAAGCACTACCTAAATTACAAGTTTCAGCTAACCCAGTTGTTCTCAAGCAAATACCTATGTTCGATCTGCTATAGTAAATGTTTATCTCTATATCAAAAAACCCTGCAAATGAATTCTTTGATATATTATTGAATGGTATTTACGGCCTATCAAGACTGCTATCTTTTCTAAACCTTCTTTCCCTAGCTTCGCAAGCAGAAGAATTCATAGTCTTCAACTAACTTATGAAAAAAAATACTAACACTAAAGATAAAGAGAATAATACGAAAGAGAAAAAGAAAAAAAACTGCCAAAGCAACAAGAAAACGAACAAAAAGAAAAAAAAGAAACAAGAAGAAAAAGGCAGAAAAAAACAATCTATGAAAACACTATTATAGCCTGTGCCAGGCACAATTGTAAAAATTATATACTAAATTTAAAAAACCTTGTATATCTCTATTGTAAAGCTTCACTTTATTATTAAGTCTCTTCTGACTTTACTGTCTGGTCTGGGTCGGTTCGTTAACCAGAGTGCCGATTGGTTCGTCATGTGGTGTAGATATATCATTGTCAAAACAATCCTGTATTTATATCCTACTTTGTCTGTTCAAAAATGGAAAGTGTAAACAATACTGATTTTTTGAAGGGGGTAAGCTAAATTGCCCACTTTTTGTTGAAAATTTTGGTAAGGTTAGCAAGAGGCAGTAAAGATGAAAAAAAAGCCACTAGTTCCAAATCAAAGAAGTGTGTATACTTTTCTTGCAAAGTATATCAGTGACTTGTTGACTGAGCAAAGGGTGGATACTTAAAGAACGTTAGAGAGTGAGTGATAAACTCTAAGCTAGTCAGCAAGTAGCATATGAGAACTACTTCTAAATGACAAGTGCTCTTTGTTTTAACAGTGAGTAATAAACTCTGAATCTGTTAGCAGGTAGCGTATGAAAACTACTTCTAAATAACAGGTGCTGTAGTTCCTCGACTTATCTTACTTATTACTTTTTCAACTAGTTATAATGTATTTATTAAAAAAAGTTTTTGAAGAAAAATTAAAAAAAAATGATCGTTAGAAAGAGTTGTATTATCAGGTGTGAAAAAATTACATTTTGGAAGCTGTTAAAAACATTAGATAGATTTATTTTTTTACTAATTCTTGTTAAATATAAAAATCTAGATTATATTAGACTTTTGAATCTTTGAATTGGCCAAAGAATAAAGATACATGTTATTTTACCAACAATCACTTCATTAACAGTTTAGTTTACTAGCAATAATTTATTAACAAGTTTGTTTCACTAACAATTTATCTAGGGAATTGTTATTTCCACCATGGATTTTTGTTATTTCCACCATAGTTATATAAAATTTTCTATTTTTAGATTTAGCTTTAAGTTTTAACATTACTCTAACCCTAACTCTAAAACTAACGAGTAAACCTTTCTTCTAGCTTTAAGTAAAGTTATAGAGGAGACTTTTCTGGTTTTAATAGTGGTTAGATCATCAAAATCGGCCTAGTGGATCCCAAGATATTTGGGGTTAAAGGCGCGAACATAAAGATTTACAAATTCACTATTACACAAAGTATTATAACTACAATACTTTATGTAACAGTAGATTTGTAGATCTTTATACTCGCACCTTTAACCCCAAATATCTTGGAATCCACCAGGCCGATTTTGATGATCTAACCACTATTAAAACCAGAAAAGTCTCCTCTACAACTTTACTTAAAGCTGGAAGAAAGGTTTACTTATTAGTTTTAGAATTAGGGTTAGGTTAGAGATTAGGATAGTGTTAGGGTTAGTGTTAGAGTTATAGGTTTTTTATATTATTATCTAAAAATAGAAAATCTTGTGTAACCCATGGTGGAAATAACAACTCCCTTTATCTATTGGCAAGTTCATTTTACTTATAGTTATTTTTTATTTTACTAACAATTATTTTTTATAAATTATATTAACTCTAATTTTACCTAACTCTAACAACAATAATCAAAATTACTTTGCATATCAGCGGATTTTTAGAATTTACTATTAAAAATTCCAAAATTATTTAACCGCGAATAACTTTTAATCCACTAATCCGTTTTCGACAAAACAATTACCAAAATGTTCGTCTTAGTGAGACAATTCTAATAGATACAAAATCGCCAAAATACAATCACAGGATCCCGATATATTTGATGATTTGTTTCACTTCGAGTGTTTTAGAATTGGTTTAACCAATTCTAAAACACCCAAAGTGACGCAAATCTCTATCGATCTCGGGGGTTCTGTGATTGGATTTTGACGATTTTGTATCTATTAGAATCATCTCACAGAGATGAACATTTTGGTAATTGTTTTGTTGAAAACAGACCAGTGGATCAAAAGTTATTCACTGTTAAATAATTTTGGAATTTTCAATAGTAAATTCCAAAAATCCGCCAATATGTAATTCTTGTGCAAAATTTTATCCCTATAAAAAAAGTTAGTTTAGATTTGTTTAATTGTTCGGTATCATTCAACAAATATTCGGAATGAGTCCACTATAAGTATAAAACAAGACAAAAATCCGTAGAATTTTTAAGATAAAAAATACAATTTGTCCTGTTTTTATACTATAGCGAACACATTCCGAGCACTTGTTGAATAATCCTCCTGCTAATTTTTGTTTATAAGGTAAATTCAAACTCAATTCTGGGCTTCTGAATGAGTAAGAAAAAATAAAAATAAAAAACCAATGGTTTATAATATAGAAGATAATTATGCAATAATTTCTTGAAAAGATCCAGAATTTACTCAGATAATAAAATTCGATACTAAAATTCATAAAATTCACAAGAATTAGATATTCAAGCTTCAGAGTAGGTTGACTAAATTTAACTTATTGTGTAAATTATCAAAGCTTTAACAAAAAGAATCATAACTTTTTAAAAAATTACTTTTCAATGGAAAATTCTAAAATCTTGCACAAAATAAAATAGTCTGAAGATTTACTTTATTCTTTTATTATAAATTCTTACCTTTATAATTATAAATAGTACAAATTATTAATATTTTACCACCTGGATAATCTAAATTGCAAACTTATCATTTGATTTATATATTTTGGATCTTTTCCGTGGTTATTGCATAATATACAACATTTATAATGCATAAACCAAAGTTGCCAACAAAGTTTTTCAAATAATTTTCTTTTATACCCACAGTTTGCATTATATACAGTATATTATACTTATGCATACTTTTTATTGTACAATTTAATGCAAGCTATGAATATAAAAGATTGGTCAAAGTATTTCAAGTAATATAAATCTTAATTGTCATTTGCGAATTGATATATTCATTAAACATATTAAATGAAATTTGACATCCTACTTGAAAAGTTTATGCACAGAACATCTGAAAAAATAAGTTGCAGATCTCTTTGAATTATGATTGCAGTTCTTTGTATGTTTTATCATTGTCATAGTGAAGTGATATTGTATTCCAAAATTTTATTCATTATTCATACAATGATATGGTGATTATTCCGATTGGCAAAGTTTTTATTGTGAAGCTGAATTATATAGCTAATAGTTTTCAACATTTGTATTTATTGAACTTTATTTTTATACATGTGAGATACACACGTTGTCCGGATATATATTTTAAATTCAGAACGGATTTAAAATAATCCGATCCGACAACATGTGTATCTCACGTGCATCAAAATTTCAAATTTCAAATTTCAAATTTCAAATGCCAGATAGCAATCAGTAATCGGTATGCAAAAACAGAAAATGCCGAATATATAATAGGTATTTGGTTTGGTCGTTAATCGACGTGTTGGCAACATAAAAGTAGATTTTAGATGCTCTACAGCAATTTCATTTTACTACTATATACTGATATATACCTGTCTAGTAGGTATGTCGAAAATAAAATATGCAACCCGCACTAAAATGTTTATAATGTAATTAGATGAATTGCTACAAAGGAATTTTTAGCTTTTTGAATCTTTCTGGTAATACAAAGCTTATACCACGGAAAGATTTATACAGTAACCCAAATGGGTCGTTTCCGAAGATATCACCAGATGGAAAACACCTTGCATTTCTCGCTCCAAGAAAGGACGTGATGAACCTTTTCGTTTGTCTCAATTCTTATGACGTAGATAAAGCGAAAGTGATCACTTGTGAAAATCGTAGAATTGTAGAATATTGTTGGACGTATGATAATTATATTTTGTATTCTAATGACAAAGACGGAAACGAAGGTGAGTAAAAGAATAATAATTCTTAATATATAATTTTCTATAATTTGAGAACAGTTAATATGTGGTAAAACATTATGGTTGCAAATGATTACATCTTACATTTATTATGGACTTAACTGACAGATTAATTAATGGAGTCAATTTCTATTTACATGATATAAATCTGTTTGGCTGTCTATCATAGTAAGATTTCACTTATAAACTCAGCAAATAAGTTCTAGATTAGTCTTCACTGAATTAAACCTATTTTCATAACCTTAAACACACGTATTACCCACAAAAAATTAAAATCACCCTTTTTCTATCACGTATTTGGGTCTGAACGAATATTACAAATTGTAATATGGCTTTCAATAATTTTGGTTTAAACGAATGCTATAACTCGTAGAATTCGTTTAAATTAAAATAATAAAGAAAGCTGAGATGTTCTTGAAACCTAATTGTTATTTAATACTATTTTCAGTGTGAAATTAGTAAACTAACAGCATCAAAATAATGTAGATATCTAAGAATTGCTAAATTGTTTCAATAACTTCGGATTTAAAATAATTGAAAATGGCTCAACTGTTCTCAAATTTTAAAAAAAACAAATTATAATGGAACTATTTACTAATTAAATTTAAATATTTAATTTAGATTATAAAATTTATTTGGTCGATATTTTTACAGCCAAAGCGAAATGTCTGACTCCATATGAAAATGTTCAATCTAAGCTTGTTCGCCTATGCCCGAATGAAATTATTGTTGCAATTAACAAACCGAATCCTAATGCGAACAGCCTTTATAAAATTAATTATAAGACTGACGAAAAACCTACATTAATTGAAGAGAACGAACAATTTTTTGATGAATATGCTATAGATGACTCATTAAAAATTCGTTGCGCCAATAAATTAGTTAATGAATTAGTTAAAAAACATAATTATGAAAATAAAGTCCGTAAGAAAGTCTATATAAAAGAAGAAGATTCTAATGATTGGAGACCGATAATTAGTTATGGAATGGGAGATGTCAGATCTTCAAGGATAATTTCTATAGATAACGAAGGGATGATTTATTTAGTTGATTCACGTGATAGTGAATTCTCTGCCATATATAAACTAAACACGTGCGATAAAGAACCGAGGGAAATTGCGAGGCCACCAAATCAAAAAGCAGATATTAATAAAATTCTTCTTCATCCGAAAACCAAAAAGCCTATCGCATATTCAATCACTTATCTTAAAGATAAGTGGTATTGCATTGAAGAAAAAGTTTTTTATGACTTGGAATTTTTAGGAAAATTTAATGACGGTGAACTCGACATACTTTCTCAATCTTTGGATAATAAAATTTGGACCGTGGCTTTTGAAAGTGGAAATCAACCTCCAAAGTACTACCTTTATAATCGAGACAACAAATCAATTAATCATTTATTTGATGCTTACCCGAAATTAGAAAAATATACGTTAGCCCAAGTTTTCCCTTTAGTGATTAGATCCAGGGATAATATAGATTTAGTCTGTTATCTTACGCTTCCAGCTGGAAAATATGACCCTTCAACAAAATGCAAACCAAAAAAACCTTTACCATTAATTTTACATGTTCATGGAGGTCCTTGGACACGTGATTACTATGGCTTCAAAGCCGATTCACAATTTTTTGCAAATCGTGGTTATGCTGTATTAAATGTAAATTACCGTTCTTCCATTGGCCTAGGTAAATCGTTAATCCATGCTGGTGTTGGTCAATGGGGAAAACAAATGAATTATGATTTAATTGGTAAGTTCTATAGTGGCTAAATTGTATATATTGTTTAAAGATTTATCCTACTAATTCCGTAATCATGCAATATTCGAATATGAAATCAGATGCAGCAAAATGGGCAATTTCTGAAAAAATTGCTATAAAAGAAAAAATTGCAATTTATGGAGGAAGTTACGGTGGATTTGCTACATTAGCTGGGCTTGCTCTTACAAATGAAAATGAAAATTTTGCTTTTGCATGTGGAGTTGAATTTTCCGGTCCTTTTGATCTTGGTATGTTTATTTCTTGTACAATCCTCTTAAAATTTTGAGCTTTAATTTTTAGCCCACTTACATCCTTTATTTATAACAATAGTAAGGCTGGTCAGGTAATAAAATACTTGCTTAGCTATAACAAAAATAATTTCTATTATATATTAAAAAAAATTACTCAATTAGTACTATCCCTTCGTATTGGAAACCATCTTATGATGAATTCGTATACCGTCTAGGTGGCGATCCTAATACTGAGGAAGGGTTGAAGCATTTACAATCTTGTAGTCCATCAAATTTTGCTGACAATATTAATAAACCTTTGTTAATCGCCCAAGGTATATCTTTACTAAGTTTTTTTTTAAGTTTTCTTTTTCATTTTGTTAACTATTTCTTTTATAAATAGGTAAAAATGACCCACGTGTGAAATACGATGAAAAGTAAATTTATACTTTATCTTAACTATTACACTTTAAACAAAGATTTAGCCTAACTCCATATTATATTCGTTCTTTATAGCAACAATATCATTCCTGAAACACTTGAGAGCAATAATATCCCTGTTGGATACGTTTTATATTGTGATGAAGGCCATGGGTTCGTCAAGCCCGAAAACATGCTTTCATTTGTTGCACTTAAAGAGAAATTTTTGTCAAAATACTTAGGTGGTAGGCGTGAAAATTTTGATAAAAATGATTTTAAAAATTTAAATATTAAAGTAAAATATGGTAAGAAATTGTTGGGGTTAAATTATAAATTTATTAAAAATTAATTCGTTAGATTTTTGGATCATGCTAAGGCAACCACCCAAAGTTATATATATATACGTAGACCGCAAATGTAATAAACCTATTTTTAAATCAATAGTATGAATTTGTGTTACGTGACTCGATTAAGGTGGTCATCCAATAGAGTTATCTTTTCAGCTAGAATTATAATTACACTATATTCTTTTCTTGTAATTTTTTCATAGAATTAGATCTAATTTAATGTTTCTTTTTTAGCTAATGCTAGAATTTTATACCTTATTATAATGCTTTTCGGATTTTGATTGGCTAGAAATTATATTAACTCTGATTTTTATTTTATAAATAAAGGCTCTAATATTAACATAACATTCTTAAACCAAATATTTCTTAATAATTGTTTGATAGTTTCAGTGCTTAAGACCATTTTTGAACTCTACTAGTTAGAATTTGAAAATGGTTCGATTAATGAAGATAACTCAAACAATATAAGTTTCCTTCGCTCTTTTCAGATTTTGATTGGCTAGAAATTATATTATGATTTTTATTTTATAAATAAAGGCTCTAGTATTAACATAACATTCTTCAAACAAATATTTCTTAATACATAATTTTTGATATTTTCAATGCTTAAGGACATTTTTGAACTCTACTAGTCGTAGAATTTGAAAATGGTTCGATTAATGAAGATAACTCAACCATTATAAGGTACCTTCGCTCAAAGCTTGTAGAAATTCAGATGAAAAGTGCTGAGAATTTTTGTTGTTGCTTTGTTCTACAAATTATAAAACTAGTATGCAAACGGATATTATATTATAGAATTGAAATTTTTATGAGGATATACCGTATACTTCCGAAATTAAGCACCAGCCAAAATTCTCGTGATCTAATAATCGGATCTACGTAATTTTGGTACCATTCGAATCAGCTTGCCAAAACGATTCG